CGGCAGAAAGGGCCCAAAGGGACGATGAATGGGGATTGGAAGCATTGGAGGAGGCAATTCGAACAGGAGAAGGATAGCAGGAAGGGTAGCCTAAGCTGGAGTCAGCCTAGGCCGCACCCATTCCGCACGAAACACAAGGAGAGCACTGTGCTCGAAAGCCCTGCGCAAACAGGCGGTCTGGGGCGAGGAAAAGGATCAGAAAGAGTATGGAAGGGGGCTAGTGCCCCAGGAACTTATAGGGATAAGAGACTGTAGAATAGCTAACGGCCTCAAGTCCACGGATAATGGTCTGTCATAGCTCTAGGGCTCGGTATGGACAATAAACTTGATTAAATAATAATAATAGTTAACTAGGTACAAAGAGTCTCAGGCACCAAGGCAGCCATCAGACAACCCTGGTTGAAGTTTGCACTTAGCTACAATTCTTCTACCGATGGAGCAGCCTGTCCATACCGCTCGCTACTAGTTTCTTCCTGTTTAATAATTCAAAGTACAGGAAATAGGGGGAGCGACCCCAAATACAACACCTCATAAAGCCCCATGCCTCGCCTTAAAAATCCCAACCTCATAATCAGGAAACAATATCTCACGCAACCGGAATCTTTCCCAAGGAGGCCGTTCACCCTCAAACAAATCTTCGTCGTCCTCCAGCCCCCATTCACAAGGGTCCGGCTGCGATCTCATATCCGAGCTTAGATAGTGCGGATTATTTGGCCTGAAATCTTCATCAGGCATGAGCTCGGTGTCGGAGTTTGAGAAATCCAGCTCCTCATCCTCTGCGGCCGCTGCGTCGGTGGTATCGAGTGAGTCGTCGTAGCGGGTATCGACAATTTCGTAACACTTGTCGGTAATTGCGATGTAGGTGAGTGAGAGGTGGGGCATTAGACCGACTATGTCTTTGAGCTGATGGGCGAGGACGTCTGATCGGGATACTAATTCCTCGCATGTGTTAATGATGTGCAGAGCGCGCAGATTTGGGAGATTCGTTAGTCCTTGGATAAAGTAACTCTATTGCAACGCGTCAGCCATAAGTTCTCTGAGATACTAATGATCCAGACTTACCCGGTCCTGTGCATCAATACCCATAGAAAGCTCTTGAAGCTGCGACATCTTCCCGCCTGTGATAAATGAGAGCATTTTCCGGTCGAATCTCAGTCTGCGCCAATGATACAATGCTTCATCTGCTATGTGGTAATTATCAGCCACATTGATGAGCAATCTCTTCAGGCTTGAATGATGTCTCTGGAATACGATTCGGTATATCATATCGCGACTGATCCTTGACTGATGTGGCCACACAACCTCATGTAAAAACACAGTCTCAAGGGTATTTGGCGCAATGGTGTCCCTGAGGAACAACATAAGCCAGGGAGAAGTTCGACTTGTATGGATATGCTTGAGTCTCAGGGGAAAGTCAGAGGGTGCTGAAGGTCCCATGCTGGATGAAGCGTATCGACTGCGAATATTTCTCCAGAGGCTCTCATGTCCCCCGCAATCCAAGATCGTAAGCGTAGTCAATTTAGTCCAGTCAATAGTCTGCATCAAAACCGGGACAGACATGACTACGTCTTCCAGCTCCAGGACCTCGAGCTCTAGGAAGACATAGTAGTTTTTGTTGGTATCAGGGTGTCGCCTTTCTGAACCCTCTGCACCCAGCTTTGACGGTGGGAACATGGTAACCTCAAATGGGCCCGTGAGAACCTCAAGAAAACCGCCGATCTTAGGCCATTTCAAGGACGCCCAAGTAGCATCCGCTGGCGGCGTCGACCATGCACGATTCATCGGGTCCATGCTCAGGCGCAGCTCTTTGAGTCGATCTCGAGAGCGTTCAATGAGCACAGCTATCTCTTCCGCACAGGAGGGCTCGCTGATTTTCAGAACAGTCAAACTCTTCACAGGAGGCAGGATAGATAATGTGGGATATTCAACCAAGGTATGTCTCTGGGATAGTTCCCACGCAAAAAACTCTTCTGCTGGCATCGCCAACTCAGTGTCAGGTGGGTCGCATCGGAGCCAAACCCTCTCCAGGCGACAATTGTGTCCCGGACGATTTGCCACAGATGAAAGCGCTCTCCACACGGCTCCTGAGACCCCTGTTGGCATGTCCCAGATGAATGTTTCCAAATTGACTGCTTTAGACACTGCCAATGCAACCAGGTTGTTAAATGTCTTCCCTACTTCTAGGTGAAGGTAATAGGGCTGAAACTGCTCAGTTGGGCTATTGGCAATTTCGATCTTCCTCGTATATTTTGCATAATTGTTTGCCCGTCGTAGTTTTTTCTTGAGCTCAACTGCAGGTTCAGGTACGCCAAACTCCTTGGGGCCGTTGCGGCCACGCTCATCACAAGAATCAAAGAGATCCTCGCCCATAGTCAAGGTCGCCAATCCTTGAGAAAGCGCTTCCAATCTCCCCGAATGATATGGCGAGTGCCCAAGATCAGGCCATACGACATTGAACTCAGAATATAAGACAGGAATCGCTACTGCATGAAGAACGGAGCAAGTCAGAGTCAGTGATGCCAAACCGTTTATATGTCCCACCTATAATGATTAGCATCGTGGACAAGTAATTGGCAACACTTTACTTACCTCCTTGACAATCTCCGTCAGAATCTCGACTGGTAAATCAAGCAGATTTGTCTTCCGTGCACCGGACTGAAGAATAAGAGTCTCAAGATGCTCCCTTTCTGCTTCCATTTCGTCTATATCTGCCTCGCGAAGATTGTTTTTTGAAGCCTCGCTCGCAGAATCCTCCACTACAGACTGCCGATGCATAGTTATTGTGCGGGGTCGTGTTCTAATTCAGCTCCGGTAAACAACGTGTTTTAAATGACCCACGAGCAGCAGCAATTCAAGCAACAATCGATTTGAAGCCGGTAAGAAACATGTTGCCTTAGTTGCATATTGCTAGGAAATGAAATATAAGTAATATAATGGAGTGGTTGAAATAAGAGGGAAGAACAGAAAGATCGGGCATGAAAAGGAAATCCAGGCAACAAGGCAGACACTCAGATCCACCTCAGGAGAGTCAGGACACTTCTTCTATACTATCCTTAGATATATTCAGTAGGCTATGACGCTGTAAGTGTAGCCCTCAGTGCATTACAGTCTTCTATTCTTCGCCTTAAAGATCCGAATCCTATCAACCGCTTTTTTATCTAGCTCCCGCAACCGAGGGAGTTTCCGAAGCCTTCCATTCTCAAAGTCAGAATCATAGTCCGAGTCAGTGTCATCTGTTTCATTATCAATGCCCTCCTCTTTGTCACCAGCAGCAGCATCATCGTCGTCGCTCTGGTCAGGTGTACTCTTAGTTTCAGACTCAACTACCACGTCGCGAGCATGAGCAATCTCGACAATCTCCCAGCGATTGTTGAGGATTCGAATATGAGCGAGTTTGAGCTGAGGCTCTATTATGACCATGATTACGGCGAGGTCGGCGAGGTCTTTAAATTCTTCTTAGCCCCACTCAATGTTGTTGATGTGCAGGGCACGAAGGTTGGTCGTGCGCAGTAGCTTCTCCATGAAGAAATGCTATTTAAATGTGTTGGCGCACGGATATGACATTAGAGCGAAGGAAGAGAGATCAACTGACATAATCGCTTCTATCAATTCCCATGGAAAGCTCAAGAAGCTGTGGCATCTTTCTACTCATGAATGAGAGTATAACCCGGTTGAAATTCCATTTGCGCAAATGTGATGAATCATCTTCCAAGTAACCAGCAACATAGACAAGGATCCTTTTCAGGCTTGAATGATGTCTACGAAGAACATTTCGGTAGATGCTGTCAATGCTAACTGGAGACTCATAATAAGACGGAGCCTCATGTAAAAACGCACTTTCAAGGGTGTTCGGTGCAACAGCCTCTTTTATGAACAAGATTAAAGATCGAGAAACAGCATCTGTGTGGAGATGTTTTATCCTCAAAGGGAAGAAGTCGGGTGTCTCTGTACCAATACAGCTTCCTTTCTGGTCTGCGTTCTTGGCTGCAGAGTCTCTGGTCGTACATGGAATATACTGATCATGGAGAGCTCGCCAGAACTGTTCATGCTCTCCACAGTCTAGAATGGTAAGCGTAGTTAGATCAGTCCATTCCATAACCCGCATCATGATTGGGATAGACATGGTAGCCCGCTCTAGCTCCAGGACATCGAGCTCAAGGAAAGCATGACTACTTCCCCGCAGATTGATCGACTGGTTGTCTGATGACTGCAAATTACCCGCAGCTTGGTTTGACAATCCGGTGTCTGCTGGCTGGACATGATGCATGGGAACTTCCTCTCTCGAAGATGTATCATCGTGCGAAGTCTGGTTCTCAACAGTGCTACCGGCCACGGCAGATGCAGCGTTTTTGAACAATCCAGTGAGGATTTCTAGGACGCCACCAGGTTTGGGCCAATCCGTAGACGAATTCAGTGGTATAGTGTCCGATGGCCTCGTCCAACCCTCATTGTTGGCCTGGGAAGCGATACCGATGCGCAGCTCCCTGAGCTGATTTCGCGACTGCTCTATCAATCCAGTCATCTCTTCCAGATAAAAAGGCTCGTCAATATCAAGTACTGTCAGACTCTTCAAGGCAGGTAGCATAGACAGCGTGGGGTACGTGACGCGGCTTCGAGTGCTCAAACTGTTATTATGCCACCGGATTCAAACACGCTTCAGGCGACATTCATGCCCACAACGATCCGCAAGCAATGAAAGGGCAATTTACACATCCCTCGGAATCTTGGATATAAAGTCACAAACAAAAGTTTCCAGATGAATCATCCTAGCGACTGCCAAGGCGATCAATGTACCGTTATTCTCCCCCGAATCCCGATAGTATCTTGGCCAGTGAAATTCTAGCAAGAACTTGCGCGTATACTTTGCATAATTGTTTCCTCGTCGAACTTTCTCCTTGGGGTTGTTGTTGTAGTTGTCGGTGGTGGTGGGTGCAGGCTTCTGTAGGGTAGACTGCTGATAGGAACAAGTTGTATCTGACTGAAAGAAATTCTTGCCCATAACCAATGTTCTCAGGCCGTATTGGAGAGCTTTCTCAGTCTTGGAATAATCCATAGAGTATTGTGGCCATACGATTTCAAACCGAGAGTAGAGGATAGGAATAACCAGTGCGTGAAGAGCGGAGCAAGTCAGGGCCAACGGCGCCAGGCTATTCGTACGCCTTACCTATAGGATTCAATTAGCGTCACCATAGTAATCGGATGTGGACAGACCCTTACCTCTTTGGCAATATCCTCCAGAATCTCCGCTGGCAAATTCAGCAGATTCATCTTGGAGCACATTCTTTTCAGTAGACAGAAACCGGTCAGGAATCGCTACCAAGATAGTCAAAAATTAGTCCTCTGGGGATTAATCGGTTCGAAAGGAAGAAAAATATGGGGCCTGCGATGGCGTATCACGGTCTTGGGGAGAAGAGGGGTGCCGGGGTTCCTGTAGCTCAGATGGGTACGAGAGGAAAGCGAGAGAGATGGAGTGTCGTAATTGAGAGGCATCGAAGTGAGGAGGCATCGATGTGGGGAGGAAGGAGGAAAATGGGAAAACAACGAGAAGTAGGGGCTGGACTAGTGTCCTGGGGCATCAAGGCAGGCTTACCCTAGTGAAGGCACCCTTAATGGTATTTATCTAACTACTGCAATCAAATCATATTTCTAGCAGCTTATAAACCTCGAAAACAAGATCAAATGAGACAATTACAATGCCCTATGCCTCGCCTTAAAAACCCCAATCTTCTCATCATCAAACGGGACCTCCCTTAACCGGAGCCCTCTCTTCCTGTTCAACACCTCGTCCTCCTCATACCGCAACAGTTCGTTTAGCTCTGCCTCCATATTCCACTCTACATCAAGATCATTTCTATGTCGTCATTCTCTTCGCCATGCTCTCTGCCTTCCTCGTCATCTACCCCGCTGTCTACCTCCTCTTCATGACTGTCACCCTCGTCATGGTCGCCCCCATTATCACCCATGACAGGTACCCCCCAACCCCAATCGCCGTTATCGTTATTATTATTATTACTAATGGCAGGCGGCTCAGAGACGGAAATGTTCTCGCTCGCAGTCGCTCTGTCGGAGTCACCCTCGCACTCCCCCTACGGAACTTCGACGATCTTGTAGCACTTTTCGCGCATCCCGATGTAGGTAAGTTAGATTTCAGGTATAATAGCGACAAGGTCGACTAAGTGCTGCACGCGCTCCGTGAAGTCGTGATATGTCGGTTCGTTTACATTGGTGATGTGCAAGGCACGGAGGTGTGGTATGCATGGTAGGCGTTGCATGAGGAAATGCTAGGATGTGTTAGTTTTAGGTTTGGACTCTAGGTTATTGTGACGGAAAGCGGATAAGACAACTTACCCAATCCCTCCTGTCAATGCTCATTGACAGTTCGCGTAGCTGCGGCATTTCACTTGTGATGAACGCGAGCAGTTTTCGGTTGAGTCGCCATTTCCGCCAGGCATCTGCGATGGTAGCTCTTCCTTTGTCGATAATACTAATACTGATCATCAACCCTTTCAGACTTAATCGATGTGGACGGAGTATGTGTCGGTAAATTGCATCAAGGCCAACTATGGATTGATAACCGACTTCCTGGAAATATACACTTTCGAGACTGTTCGGCGCAAGGGCATCCCTGATGAAGAATATGAGATACGGGGAGACGGCATCTGTGCGTAGATGCTTGAGGTGGAAGGGGGATTGTGCAGCATTATTCTGTGTACCGTCTGTTTCCTGGTCATTTATTTTGGGGCAACATGGTGCGTATTTGCGCCGAAGAACTCGCCATAGTTTCTCATGTCCGGAGCATTTCAGGATTGTAATTGTCATTAATTTGGTCCAGTCAATGGCCTGTGAAAGTACTGAAGCAGATATCGTAGAATCGATAGCGTGGGATACTCGACATGGCCGTATCTCTGGAAGAGTGACTGGCCGGAGGGGATAACCGCAACATCTCCTAGCCATGGCGCTGTGGTCTCCGCAGAGTTATCATGCCATCGAACAAAAATGCACTCCAGACGACACTCGTGTCCCGGTTTATTTGCCAGCGACGAAAGCGCAATCCAAGCCTCGGTTGGAACCTCTGAGTGCATGTCCCAGAAGAAGGTTTCCAGGTTGATCATCCTCGCCACTGCCAGAGCAACTAGGGTGCCAATAATTTTCCTTGCTTCCTTGATCATGTAGTAACCTTCAATTCAGTCAGACGGCGCAGGCCCAAGTGAAAGTTTGCGTATGTGTTGTGTGTAAGTGTTGCCTCGCCTCGTTTTCACTGCTGTGGGTGGCGGTAGGGGGGAGAGCTGGCGACCACTGAAGCCACAATTCGGACAAGGACACGATTCAGTCGACTGCTTCGAAGACGACACTGTGGTGAAGATATCCTCTCTCATATCCAGCGTCGCCACGCCGTAAGATAGAGGGTCTACACGGGGATTACTAGAAGATGCTGAAACCTCTGGCCATATAATCCTAAACCGGGAATATATGACAGGAGTAGCCACCGCATACAGAGTGGAGCAGGTCTGAGCCAAATACGGCAGGCCATTTGCATAATTTACCTATGAAGATATGTTTGTTTAGTGCCCCGTACCATATCCGTCGCGAAAAGACACACTTACCTGCACGGCAATCCCCTTCAGGATCTCCGCTGGTAAATCGAGGAGATGCAGCTTGGAGCCAGAGAGAACGCCCTGGTCCCCATCAGTATTCCCTGACTCGTTAAGATTGGCCTGTCCGAGTACAGAGAGCTCTCCAGTTTGCTCATGCACATCCTCCACCGGCAACGGAGTCATGTTTTCGTCGTGCCTATTCAACTGGAGCATAAAAGATGTAGGTGTAGTAAGAGATTATGGTAAATCCTCGGTGACAGGAGTAGGTAGTCGTAGGTTAGTTTGTCCAAAACCGCAGATCCCAGCTGAAAAGCAATATACCAAAAGGTTCAAACGAAGCCGCTTCCACTTTAATTCACTGGCAAACAGTAACCATGATGAGTGAATCATGCCATCAAACAGAATAAGCTTTGGTCTTTGGTTAAAAATGCAGTGGGAGAAAGAAGAGAAGAAACAGTTGGTTTTGTCCAGACTTCAATCATCTAAGCTCTATATTATCCTGGCCCATAAGTCCATATCTACTCTATATACACGCCTATATATATACATCCGCCAACATACCCAAAAACACTACCCCAACCCAGCAAAAAACAAAACCACCCCCTCAGCCGCAACCCTCGAATCATCATCATCCCCTTCCTTCTTAACAGCAACATCAATACTCTCTACAAACCCCCCAATATCATCCTCCCTCCACCCAAGCCTCTTCCCAAACTCGATACACGTCTCCCGGTTCACGAAACTGTCGAATTCAAAGTGTCCCTGAAAAGTCAATACCCGGCCGGGGTGGTAGAGGCCTTGGACGGGGCATTTGGTTGTGGAGCCTAGGTTGAGCCATGGGGTTGGGAGAGTTATTTGGTCTGGTTTGGGGTCCGAATTGGTAGTGTTGGTAGGGATCGGGACGGGGACGACGCGATCTCCGTGGACGAGTTGTAATCTGAATTCCCGGTTCTGTAGGTTTTTGGCGATATATGGGAAAGCCTCGTTGAACGCGCTATTCAGCGTAATCGGCACGATACCCACTTCATACCCGTACGGACACTGTTCGACATGGAATCCAGCACCATCATTCTCCGGCAAAGAAGGAGAGAGTAAAGCCTGCGCAATAACCTGATGTCCAAAACAGGACCCAAAGATCTTAACCCCAGGAAACTCCTCAAAAACCATTCGTATAAACCGCTCTAATTCCGCAATCCAGGGCTTCGTGTGCTTATCGCATGCGGAGTTCGCAGAGCCCGTTATCAGAATTCCGTCGATGGCATCACCGTCATTTTTGGCTCCATTTTCTTGGTCTTGTGGAAGTTTGCGCAGTCGTTTCAACGGGGGGAGTACACCGCCGACGACATCGTAGGAGGATGTGTTTATTTCGGGGACTGCGTGTGTGTATTTGGTGGTGAGGCGGGAGGCGGCGGCTTGGAGGAGATGACGGAATTGGGTGCTGTAGAGGCCGCGGGAGGCGTAAACTTCTGGGACGGGGATGTCGGCGTCGAGGATCGCGATGTGCATTTTTCAACTTTTATACCTCTATATTAAGGATATGTCGAGTAGGGGAGGCTGAAAATTGAGATGGGAAAATTTTTACAATTAAGTCATCAGGCTTGTGGGGGAGTGGTTCTCATAACATAACCCGATTCGGAAATCGGATCCTATCCCCGGAAGCGCATACTTTATACAGAGTACATTCATTCACTAGCAATACAATATAGTCGTCTATCATTCATAAACAAAAGATATTTTCAAAAAGAGCAGCAGATTACTCCGCATCCAACGGCGCAACAGGCGCCTGATCATCCACCTGAATCCCACCTCTCTTCTTCTCATTGCTATCCCAGAACGGCAACTTCCATCCGCCCTCTTCCTCGGGCGTTGCGAGCCACAGACGCATGAGGTGACGTCTGGGAGCTGGTGGTGGGTAGTCCTTGTATTCTGTGCGCGAGTGCAGGACGTGCGAGTTGGTGACGAACTGGATGTCGCCGACATCGAGGACCATGTGGAGGGCGGAGCGTTGGCAGGTCTGCTCGAGGACTTCGATGGCTTCGAGTTGCTCGGGGGAGAGAGGGGGGATGATGCCGGCGTCGGAGAAGCGGGAGAGAGAGCGGACGTAGTAGGGATCCCATCTGCACTGTTATTAGCATGTACATGATATAGAAGATGAAGAGGGAAGTGGCGTACTTGGTGTAAACACGGGCATTCTCCCCACGCTCGAGGTAAATAACCGAAGTCCGAATATACTCCTCCTGGCCCGCACTAGTCTCTCCCTTGCGATCAAAATACCAGATCGGCGCCGTCAGCGTCTGCAACACGTCCGGCCTCTCCTTCGCAAGCGCATTATACACAGTGTGCGAAGACGCAATATCCGACTCGCCACCCTCAAGCGCCTTGGCAATACACAACAGACCCACGACATCCGAGTCATCGGCGTGGAAGTACTGACGCGCATTTGTACGGTAGATCCGCACCTTGTCGATCTGCGTCGAGTCCTCGCCCAGGTCCTTCACGTGGCCGAGCACGTGGCCACGGCTGTTCTGGGAGACGAAGTAGCCCAGGTACGTGCCGAGACCCATGTAGGCGACGGCGGACTTGTGGTTGCCCCATTTCTCGACGGGGAAGCCTTTGAAGAGGATGAAGCCTTTGCCGTTGAGGAGGTCCTCGCGGAGAGTTTCGAGGTCTTTGGAGAGGTTGGGGAGAGGGAAGTTTTTCTATATCTGTTGGTCCTTTTCTCATGCATATGGCCTAGGGAAGTGACGTACCTTGGAAATACCAGTCAAAGGAATCTTAGCCTTGAGAAAGTTATCCGCCGCTGTGCTGAGCTCCTCAATCTCCTCAGCGTTGAAAGCATGCGTCCACTTTTCAGGCTGTCCACGGTACTCCTCAGGTTGCCACGCAGTCCGCCCCGTAATCTCCTTAGGGAACTGCTCGAATTCCCGAATATGATCATACAGCGGGGCATGCTGGCCAGTAGTCTTCAACCCATCGGGGAAGATATCCCGCGGCGCATTGCTGTTCAGCTGGTGCGGTGCCGCGGGGAGTGATTCTGTTAAAGCGGGAGCCATTGCGGATATGTAGAGTGTAGGGGTATAATAAAAAGTAGTGTGCAGAATGTGGTGCAAAGTGAGGGGGAGGGGCATCCCTGTATATATTTATACTCTGTAGCCGACAGCCGAGACGCAGCTTAGCGATGTGCCAAAATGTGGAGCACATGGCGTGCCAGAGATCCTCGCAAATACACCGGGGAGCATTGGCATCATTATTCGATTGGAAACGTTATGGTGGTATGTTTGGAGGGTTTCCGCACGGCCGGGGAGGTGGTCGGTTGGGTTAGGGATGGCGCAATCATACCCGGCGGATGTTGTGATTCTGCGGTGCGACGCCCAATTATACGGCATTACGAGTAGATAACTCCGAAGTAGATGAGATAATTGAATATAATACTCAAGAGAAAGAATAAATATGTAGTATTGTGAGTAGAGTAATATTAAACTATCCCTGTACGATGTTGGACATTTCGTAGAATACAGTATGCCGGTGGTAAGGTAGGGCTTAGATCCAAATATGTACTCCGGGGTACAGAGTAGACCGGATACAACTCGGGCGAGAGACGGACACAGCTGAGGTTTCACGCTGCCTCGCATCCATTATGTTAGGTAATTGTATTCATATGCTTCGATAGTCTTCTATGCCATACAATACTTCATCAATCATAACAATATCCGTACAATCGCTACTGCATAATCTTGTACTTCCCCCCATTAACCTCCAACTTCCCCTTCGAAACCATCCCCGCCAAAAACTCCCTCAATTCCTCATTACTAAACGGAAACCCACCCGGCACCACCATCTTCAGCATCATGATTATCTGCTGCAACGGCATCGCCCCCTGGTTCGTGAGCATGCCCACGATAAACTGCCAGTACAGGTTCATCTTCTCCATTGCCGCTGCTTCGGTGGATTCCTTGGCGGCTGCGGCGGCTGCGGCGTCGGCTGCGGCTGCTGCTGAGGTGTCGTCGTTGGTGTCGGTGATGGTGTTGGGTTCTGCGGCGGTGCCGGGGTCGTTTTCGCCGGATGGGAGGGTTTCGAGGACGCGATAAGTTTCGCGTTGGGGTTCGGTGAGGATGCGTTTGCTTATCCAGAAGAGACAGGCACTACGGACGAGGGGTGTTGACATTTGTAGTTCCTGCGTTAGTTGTTCCAGGGTTTTGGTTATGGGTGGCTGCTTGTCATTCGGTGATGTGGATTGGAAGGCGTAGATCACTGCCGCTTGCCACGTGGTTACCTCGTCCACGAACACGCGATCATCAAGATCCAGCTCGACGGTCACTTGTCCCATATTGTTGAGCCAGGTGAGTTTGCGCGATGGCTTGAGTGATTCGAAGCCTGTGGAATAGCGTTGTTGTAATGTGGTGATTTCTTCTGGAACCTTGAACGTTTGTTCTTGGATGTCTGGCCAGAAGAAGTGGGAGAGGATCTTAGCGTGTAAATCAGGCATTTCCTCTGTAGGTTCATCCGGACTAGGCTGGGCCAGTCCCTGGTCATTCCGGATAACCCCGTCAACACGTCGAGAATCAAAGACGTCTCGCATCATAACCTCGCACGCTTGCAAGGCATTATCACCAAAGCGAAGCTTAAGTAGTTCCAGAACCGACATCTCTTGCACATAATCCGTCCGTTTCTGAAGCAGTCGCTCCGCCAACATATTCTGCATCTCCTTGACAAACGTCTCCTTCGAATCGAACAGACTGATAAGACTTCCGATGACATCTGCGGTCTTCGACTTCCGGAAGTCAGGTGCAGCGTCTACCGGATCAGGCATCCAGTTCATGTCATTCCAATCCAGCTCACCTCCGTCGTTCTGTAGCGAGTTTTGATGCGCTTTGGTTAGTTCGGCTGACAGCTCCGCCAGCGTCTCCCCGGTCGACTGTGCCGGTTGACCATCTGCATCTGGGTCTGCAAGGAGACCACCGACGATCACCTTGACGGTGTCATCGCGGTCGCGGAGATATCGCCGGATTGGACGGGCAACTCGATCGAGCAATACGCCCTTGGGATCTAGAAGATTCAATGATCGGATGATAGAAATGTACAACTGTAGAATCTCCACGGTTGAGGCACCGGGGTGCAATAGTCGGTCGCACAGTACTGAAGCAAAGGATAAGGTGAAGTATAACCGCGTAGCGGGATTAGTCGTGAAACGCCGTAAATCATCAATGGCACCGCTGCTAGCAGGCCATTCAACCATCACATCGAACAGCTCGCGCATCCGAAGTGTTCCCACACAGGTAAACCCGGTCTCATACCACTTCTCGACGTTGCTCAAGTTCACATCGAGATGATCCGACGATTTCGACCCAGATTCGGGGATGTTGATAATAGCGAGCACTTGAACGACAAGCCGAGCAAAGACATTCTCAACCCAGTGTCGCAAATGCTGCGATACCAAGCTTGGCCCTTCCCATTGGCCGGGGTACGCAGCTAGAACAAACTCAATCATCATTGAATTCATAACGCCCGCAAACACCTTCTGCGCTTTATCTCCGCCCAGTCCCACGAGTTGTAAGCCATTAAGAAGTGACAGTAGCCGGTCGCGCGCCGCGATGACCTCCGCATCTTCATTCTCAGTCATCCTTTCCATCCGAGCGTCGACTGACGGTTCCTCGCGCCAGCGCCGATATGAAACCGAGGACCCTCGATCCACCTCCATATCCTCGCCTATACTGACATCGTCACGGGCCGCTTCTTCCTTCAACGCATCGATTCCCAGTATAGTCAAAGCTTCTTTCGTAAATTCTCGGTTCAGTAAGGCGGAAACGCGGTCCCACGGGAGGGCAGACGAATATGCTACCATGTGGTGAAAGGCCCGATGTAGCTTGAGAAACGTTCGCTCTTGTTCTGAGGCGTCCAACAGGGGCAAGATGTATTCCGCAAGACGAGTAAAGTATATCCGACGTGCTAGTTCCAGACAATGGACGATTCTCTGTAACAAGCCTTCCTTCTCAGGATGGCACAGCAACTGCATAATTAGCATCCACTCACAATTCCATGAATCTAGGGCCAATTGGGAACCTACATCAAAAAGCCCATCCCGAAAGTTCTTCAGAAAATGTCTCCGTATCTCCTGCCCATACCAATCAATTATACTCCCCCGCTGCTCCTGCGAAACCAGAAACCCCAACGCATCCGCAGTCTTCCTCGATGGTCTCTCATACCGATTCCACCGCTTCAAAAACACCTCTTCATCAATATCCTCAAACGCCCCCAACGCCGCAAATCCTCGATCCGGCACCGCCAGAAACGCAGTAGCGGCGTCCCATGCCCGGTCCCATGTCTCTTGGTCGGGTCCTGGCTCGTCCGGCTCTGTGAGTTGGCTGTCGTCAAAGGATCGCGACGTCGCGAGGGGATCGATTGATTTTAAGGGTGGGTTGTCTGTTGTTGAGCAGGGGCCTGGGGCCGGTGACGCGGAGAAGACGGAGTTGAAGACGCGCTTGCGGCTGGTGGTGATGGTGGAGGTGGGAGGCATCGTGGGTGGTTTAATGGGGATGCATTGCGTCCAGCCGGCGATGGAGTCGAGAGTTGTCTTCTTCATTGACGGACCATCTTTTCAGGCCTTGTTTGGCTGGTCGTCGTCGTCGTCGTCGTCGTTCTTGTTCTTGATTGTTTTGGCCGAGCGATAGGCTTATCGCTGCCAAGATATGTCACGTGAATATACGAGTAGCAGTTGTACGGGAGTATCAATTAACTAGGGGACATGGCAGTAGAAAATAGAGGATAGAGTAGTGATTAGGACTGGAACACTACAGTGATTCTAAGGGTGGTGGCCGACTACATCACCCACTGCCGTACTGCTACCGTGGACACCGCGAATATATATCGCCAGAAACAGGAAGGCACAAGACCAAGGTCATTTTGCTTATGTAGTATGCCTATCACCATGACAAGCAGCCTCTATTGGGTATCGCAATACGAATATGAACACGATATGCATGCAGCATCACATTGCATACTCCGAAACAGGTACATCCGTAGTAGCCACATGCAGCAAATCAGGCCTCTGCTCCGTACTCCTAGACGACAATTCAAGAATGACCGGTAAATCTCCTCCAGATTGGATCGGACACTAGATCCCTACTCAGTCTGATCATCCACCTTCTCCCACTCGCTATCTGTGCTTCCATATCCCGAGCTGTCCCCGCTCACACTGTGTCGCTTTCGGGCTCCCTGCTCCTCCGGCAGCTGAAGACTAGCCGATGCGGCGGTTGTAGGCAAAGGTGTTTCCTGCCGTTGTTCCTCAGTCTCCGTGTCGCTGTCGGTATCAAGTGCCCCCGGTGTCTTCATAGCATCTCCCGACCTCGGTTTACCGTCCGCATGGGACTTCTTTCCTTCCTTTTCCTTCTGAGCCTCCTGGGCCTGCACCGCACTCAGTTCCGCAGCAAACCAATTAATCGACCACCATAGCGCACCGGAAAGGAAGGAGAGGACAAAGAAATGAATGCTGTAGGTTGCCAAGAGGAGCGCGAAGAGGAGGAGCTGCAGAGCAGCGAAGGTGACGTTGGTTGCGATGAGCAAGGTTGGAGTGGGACCGGGGGTGAAGACGCTGGACCAGAGGTCTTCAATGAAGAAACCCATGATGTATTCCCCTTTTTTTTTTTTTTTTTTTTTTTTGCCTCGTACGGGATATCTCCGGAGAATAACAGGATCGAATACTATCGGGCCCGTCTGGGGTAAGGCAGGGAGGAATGACGTTTGGCGGGCACGGAAATCAAAATCCGCAGAGAACGGCAACTGACAAGGTTCGGAGAGTCAGTTTCGGTTGATGCAAGAAGCAACGACAACCACGGGATGGGGAAAGCAACTCTGCTCACTAGATAAGACGCAGGGCACTCACAGCCAGTAAGAATGCTAGCGATAAACAATCCTTTCCTAATATCGGGGGATGACCGACGCGATGAGTAGGAGAGAGAGGAGAAAAACAGCGGAAAAAGCAGGTGGAGAAGAAGCGGTAACTGGACCACTTTTTGACCCCAGGATTTTCACAACGAACCGACTCGGGAGGTTAAATGGATTCTACCCCGTGGGGAGAGTGTACTCTTGAGTCTCTGTAGTGTGGTGATATGGTAGTGGTAGTGGTGATGTTGAGGAGAGATAGTGGTGATGGTGATGGTAGTAGTGATGGTGGTAGAGGAATGCACGTCATCTGACTATGGAGGGGCTCTTTCTACCAGAGTCACGCTCAACAGTCAACACACTATGCTTTATTCGATTAGGCATGTTGTCTCTATCAGCCCAATGGCAGGTGACCGAAACATGTTTGGGCAGAAAGACAGCTGCCACCACTACCAGCCAGCACTACCAGTACTACCAGCAATATCAGCAGAACCACTAGCAACAGCATTGCTGCACCACCACAACTTGACGGCTATCAAACGGAATTCATCGGATTCCATTTTACTGCGTCTGATTGAAAGCCCGCGAGAACAGACGGCCATCCTCCGACTAAACTCTGTCTATCATTAGTCCCTCATATCTTGACATGCCGTGACCACGCACGTTTCATACCTCGGAAAGATCAGGACTCTTTATTATGGGTACATACAGTACTCTTGATTAGCATTTGGTACGCCATACTTTGTAGAGCCAGCGTTATCTGGGTCTGTAGTAACCCCTCTCAGACCCATATGCAGTCCCGGGTTGGTCAGCATCAGCAGGGACCGGATGTCCTCATCGTGCTTGTTTGTGATGTTGTCACGCGGTTGTTTTTTCTAATCTCGTAGTACGATGAGGAGCACGTGCATGTCACGGGAAGCCTTCTACCCTTGCAGTTACGATGACACTGTACGGACTACTGCCCGGAGCATATACTCTTTTCATCGGACTCTCGTACTATAGTAGACGCATCTCCTAGCCAATAGGGGAAAGGGTTTCAAATCGTCAATCGGTTTCGATTCTCGTATCTATTCCGGACACTCTGACTGGTCTTTTCTAGTGGATTCGATCCATTCCCCCGCGCCGATTTCCCCAGCCTGGCTCTATCCACGGCTTGGTCCGGGCAATAGCTAACTTCTACCACGCCTATACTCTTGCAACAGGCATCCAATTGCTGTCCCCGGCCTAGAAATGCCTCCTCTTTTCCTTTATCCCCATTCGACATGTCCGCTGCAGATCGCCTCTTGTCCGGCAGAAGACTAATTCGCTCTTTGCCCGGTCTTTTCCACGAGCAAGTATATCTTTACTCCGTGCTTGGTGTCCGGCAAATCAGATACGCGGGTGTGTTTTCTTTCGGGCCCCGGAATTGCATCTGGGAACCGTGGATGGGACCTGGGGAAACGGGGAAACCGAAAACTATAAGTATAGTCGTTTCTCAGCTTCTTTTCTCAGCTTATGTTCTGGCAGAGTCATTGATTGGAGCTAGCCTTGCTTATATTTTCATTGCCAACTCTTGGCTTTCTTCCTCCTTACCTTTCACTTCCTCTTCCTTTTTACCTCCCCTTCACCTTATTGTCCTTCTGGCGTGAGGATGGATGAAAAGCAATTAGAAGCCAAGGATATCGACAAGGAATCCCTGGACGGTTTCGCCCATCATGCCGAGAACACAGTGGCTGACCAGGAACCATACGGGCCACCAGGTCTGCGCGGCCTGGTAGCCAACCCATTCGTGTTCCTCTGCGCAGCATGTTCCACGCTAGGAGGTCTCGTGTTCGGTTACGACCAGGGTGTGGTGTCCGTTATTCTGGTGATGGATCAATTTCAGGAACAGTTCCCGCAGGTGGCCCCTGGGGCTCCTGGAGGTGGATTCTGGAAAGGTTTGATGACAGCAATGATTGAGTTGGGTGCTTTGGTCGGTGCGCTGAATCAGGGTTGGATCGCGGACAAGATTTCTCGACGGTATTCGATTGTGGTTGCTGTTGTTGTGTTTACCATTGGGTCGGTTCTGCAGACTGCTGCGATGAATTATGCCATGTTGACTGTTGCGCGAACGATTGGTGGTATCGGTATTGGCATGCTTTCCATGGTTGCTCCGCTTTACATTTCTGAAATCAGTATGTTCGCTCGTCGCTTGAATGAAACCCATCTAACCGTTGCGAATCTAGGTCCTCCCGAATGCCGTGGTACGCTGCTGGTGATGGAAGAATTTTGCATCGTGTTGGGAATCGTCATCGCATACTGGATCACATACGGCACACGATTTATGGCAGGCGAATGGTCCTGGAGACTCCCTTTCCTGCTGCAGATGGTCCCCGGATTCATCCTGGTCGCGGGTGTGGCCCTCTTGCCGTTCTCGCCCAGATGGCTCGCTTCCAAGGAACGAAACGACGAAACATTGCAGAGCCTTGCGAAGCTGCGACGACTACCACCGTCGGACAAGCGGGTGCGACAGGAATTCTTGGATATCCAGGCGGAGGTTCGTTTCCACAAGGAAATGAGCGCAGAGAAACATCCCGGCCTTCAGGGTGGTGGGCTCAGAAAAGAATTCTTCTTGGAAATGGCGTCTTGGGCGGATTGCTTTGGCAAGGGGTGCTGGCGCAGAACGCATATTGGTGTTGGAATCATGTTCTTTCAGCAGGTGAGCAGCGACTCGTGTTTTCCTGTCGGACGAACACTAACATGTTATAGTTCATCGGTGTCAACGCTTTAATCTACTACTCACCAACCTTATTCGAAACCATGGGCCTAGACACAGACATGCAGCTCCTAATGTCCGGTATCCTCAACGTCACGCAACTCGTGGGTGTAACCACCTCAATCTGGAGCATGGATACACTGGGTCGTCGATGGCTACTCCTAAGCGGCGCCGCGGTCATGACAGTGTGCCATATTATCATCGCAGTCCTGGTTGGAATGTACTCTGACAACTGGCCCGCCCACACAGCCGAGGGCTGGGCCAGTGTGGCTTTGCTGCTTTTGTACATGCTCGCGTTTGGGGCTTCTTGGGGACCAGTACCATGGGCGATGCCATCTGGTATGTATTGCATGGAATACAACCGAAAATAGAACACCCACTAACGCAGCGCAGAGATCTTCCCGTCGTCGCTCCGTGCCAAGGGTGTATCCCTTTCGACAGTGTCGAACTGGCTCAACAATTTTATCATCGTGAGTCAGATATATTATTAAACAAAGCATGTTAACTAGAATTTATAGCAATGCTGACACCGACACAGGGCCTCATTACACCCCCATTAGTCCAAAACACCGGCTTCGGCGCATATACCTTCTTTGCCGTATTCTGCCTCCTCGCCTTTGCCTGGACATTCTTCTTCGTCCCCGAGACCAAGGGTCGCTCGCTGGAACAAATGGACCACGTCTTCAAGGACAACTCGAGCGCCGCAGAACAAGACCGCCGCCGGGCCATCGAAACCGAATTGCTCCGAGCGGAGGCCCATTATCTGGAGCCGTAGGGCAATGGCAATCTCGCGAAAATCAATCGAGGTCCATGCGATCGCTGGAAAACATGGAACCTTGTCTAAGAACTAGTATCTCGGGGAAGAATCCGGTGCGGAGTGCTCCGTATCCACTGTACCGGTGGAATCTCGCGCACCGGCCCTGCATTTTTACCATTCTCTTGTGTATATAATACCATGACTTTTTATGATTATTGTGCCATGAACAAAAATGGTTATAACGAACCGATTACGAAAAGAAAAGAAAAAAAAAAAAAAAAA